GCTCTGTGAAGCCCAAGTTTAGCGGTTGCACCTTCCGTCCGGGATGGATGTCCATTGGCTGCGGAGACGCTGAAACGCTGGAATGGCTGCGCAAGGTATCCCAAACCCTGAAGCCTTGGAAGGGCGCGGAAATTGTGGCAATGAATGCCACTGACGTGCCCAAACCCAGTGTATACGTTGGGTACTTTCCGGAGCCATCAACCACTCCAGTGGACAGTATCCTTGGTAGCTGGAGGGTGCTCAACAGGGTACAGAAGGGACCCACCACTGAGCTCACTCTAGCGGTTGACCCGCACTCAGCGGAGACACTCGACAGGCTGGGATACCTAGTCAATTATGGATATGGCAGGGTGCGCATCCATAAAAAAGGGAAGACGACTGAGTCGTCAGACCCGAAGGGTACACAGCCTGCTATAGCCAGTTCCTCCTCCACTTCACAAAGTGCGTGCTTCAAAGAGGGACCTTGCGGTTCCAAGGACGTACCCAAGGGACTGCAAAGGTTACCTTCAGAGCAGTCAGGGGCAGCGGAGAAGGAAAAAGCACCTGTCCAGGAGTCCATAGAGCGGCCCTGCTGCTCAGAAGACACTCCTGGCACGGAAAAGAGGGTACCTTCCAGCCCAGAGAAATCAAAGGCCCCTTTCGCCCAAAATCCCTTCCGTCCTCCGCTAAATGCGAATCGGAGACAAGGTCGAGGGGAGATTTCAATGGAGGAGAAGACCCTGATGGCCACCAATAGGGGGAAAAAGATGGCCAAGCGGGCTTCAAGGCCGAAAAATGGCAAACCCCCCAAGCGATAGGCCTAGGCACATCAAGTGCCTGCAAGTGAACCTCCATCATGCAAAGGCGGCCTCTGACGTCTTATGCAGGAGGTTCAAAACAGAACTCTTGGATGTCGCATTCATCCAAGAACCGTGGGTTTTCGCCGGGGCTATTAAAGGCCTAAACGACTGTGATGGTAAGATAATTTACGATACCACACACTGCAGGCCCAGAGCGGCCATATTACTACGTAATAACATGACTTTTGTTCCTATTTCAGAGTTGACACAACAGGACTTAGCTGCTGTATGGACTAAAGTGCCCACTCAAATGGGAGAACAAGAGGTCGTTCTCGCTTCAGCTTACCTCCCAGGCGACAGCTGTGAGATGCCCACAAGGGAAGTAATAGCCCTAGAGGAGTACTGCAGAAGGAGAAAGCTGAAACTAGTCATTACTGTGACGCCAATGCCCATCACTGTGTTTGGGGTAGCTCGGACACCAATTCTAGAGGTGAGTCATTTCTTGAATTTATCACTAAGAACAATTTATTTATTCTTAACCGGGGTAATGAGCCGACCTTTGTCAATGCTATAAGAGGGGAGGTTCTAGACTTGACAATTTCCTCAACTAGCTTGTCGACCTTTATCTCAAACTGGCATGTCTCAAATGAGGTATCTATGTCGGACCACCGGCATATTCGATTCGATATAGAAGCCCAAAGAGTAACAAACCATGTTTACAGAAATCCCAGAAAAACAAACTGGGATCTCTTTCGCCTCCACATAGAGCGGAAAGTGAATGGTTCTACGGCACCAATTTCATCCGTCTATGAACTTGAGGACGAGGCGAGAAAGTTCCAAGATGTTCTTAAACAAGGTTTTGAAGAGAGCTGCCCACTGAGAACCAAGAAGTCTCAAAGGGATGTCCCTTGGTGGAGCGATTCTCTCGGAAAACTAAGGAAAAGAGCCAGGAAACTTTTCAATAGGGCAAAGTCAACAGGTGACTGGACCGCCTACAAGTCAGCCCTAACCGCTTACAACTGTGAGCTCAGAAGGTCTAAAAGGGCTACGTGGCGTGAGCACTGCGGAAGTATTTCCTCTCTTCCAGAGGTGCATCGCCTTCAGAAGGCCCTTAAACTAGATCATCTGAAAGAAGAAACCAGCAGGCTTCTGCTAGAAATCCACTTCCCGGGATGTATTCCACAAGGCACATGTCTTTCGACAAACACGGCGAACGCTGTGTGCGCAAACAGGAGGACTAGAGGCCTAGCAGGAAGAATCGTCAGTGTGGAAAAGATATCGTGGGCCATTTCAACCTTTAGTGCATATAAATCCCCTGGTCCAGATGGTATCTACCCATGCCTGCTGCAGCAGAGCTTGGGCTTAATATCTGGGCCACTAGTCAGATTGCTGAGAGCAAGTCTCTTACTTGCTCACATACCAACAACATGGAGTGAAGTCAAAGTGGTCTTTATACCCAAAGTGGGGAAAAACTCAGCACAACTCCCAAAGGCGTATAGGCCAATTAGCCTCAGTTCCTTTCTAGTAAAGACACTAGAAAAACTTATTGACTTTCACATAAGGGATAACTTTCTCAGGAATAAGCCTCTGTGTCAGAGTCAGCACGCATACCAGGCAGGCAAATCTACTATTACTGCAATACATAGCCTAACTCAAGTCATTGAAAAGGCATTGCGGTATAAACAGATAGCTTTGTGTGCATTCCTGGACATATCAGGTGCTTTCGACAATACGTCTTATGAAGCAATATCGACAGCTATGATACGAAAGGATATTCCTGTCCTTCTAACGGATTGGATCATAAGCATGTTGAGGTCCAGAACCATAATAGCGGAACTAGGAGACAACAGGCAAGCAGTAAATGCCACCCGTGGCTGTCCTCAAGGGGGAGTCTTATCGCCCCTACTTTGGACACTGGTTGTTGACGAACTTCTTGAAAAGCTAAATGGCAATGGATTCAAGGCATATGGATATGCAGATGACCTAGTCATCTACGTTGTCGGCTGGCATGAGGACACAATTTGTTCCAGATTGCAAGCTGCGCTCAGTCTAACGGAAGACTGGTGTGCTTCAAAGGGATTGTCAATAAACCCGCAGAAGTCCACCGTTGTCCCATTTACCAATAGAAGGAAAGTCAACTTGACTAAACCCACTTTGGCAGGGACAGAAATTGAGTTCTCAGAAGAGGCGAAGTATCTAGGGGTAACTCTGGACAAAAGGCTCAATTGGAACTCACATCTCCTTAACATTACCAACAAGGCTACAAGGGCGTTTTATGCCTGCCAGAGACTCCATGGTAAAACTTGGGGAATATCACCCAAACTAACGTATTGGTCTTTCAATACGATCGTGAAACCTGTTGTCACATATGCGGCACTGGCCTGGTGGCCAAAAGCAAAGAAAGCAAGTGCGTGTGCCACCTTGAGCAAGCTACACCGCTTGATCTGTGTGGCCATCACAGGAGCTATGCGCACCTGTCCAACGGATGCCCTCGGTATAATTACAGGCATTCCTCCTCTATCTATTCTGATAGAAAAGGAGGCCTGCTGGAGCTCCATACGGCTGCCCAATGTAATCAGCATGAAGAGTGGAGATCTTTGGGGTCACTTGGAGGTTCTCAAGCCTTTTCTGGATGATCCCGCTATCAAGCTCACAGATATCATGCTACCGAAATTATCCTTTGATAAGCCCTACAAGGTCAGAATTCCTGAAAGGGACTGCTGTAAAGCGATAATATCTATGATTGACAAAGGGTCCCAAGTATGGTATACCGATGGATCAAAGATGGAAGACGGGAGTACTGGGGCAGGCGTGCTTGGACCAAGGTTCCAGAAAAGTCTGCCAATGGGCTCATACCGAACCATATTCCAGGCGGAGATCTTCGCAATCGAAGTCTGTGTTCGAGAATGTCTTCGGAGAAGGACAAACGGGGCCAGAATAAATATTATGTCGGATAGCCAGGCAGCACTAAGGGCCTTAGACTCATTTAAAACGACATCAAGGCTTGTGGACAGTTGTAAAACTCTTCTGTATAGCCTAGGAGCCCATAATAGAGTTACGCTGTGGTGGGTCCCTGGGCATGAAGGGTTTGAAGGCAACGAAAGGGCTGACTATCTCGCAAAACGTGGGGCCCAAACGCGAATGCATGGTCCCGAGCCTTTCTGTGGTACATCTATAGGATACACTGCAGAACTACTTAGGAGTTGGGAGGAATCTCAGATTGCTGCCCACTGGCGTAAGTCAAAGGGAATGAGACAATCAAAGAAATTCATAACTCCTTCCAAGAGGAACTCAGAAAGACTCCGTGAACTCAGCCGGGAGGGTCTTAGGACTATTACAGGCTACCTGACAGGACACTGCAAGTTAAGGTACCATCTAAACAAAATGGGGCTTTCTGTAGAGACGGACTGTAGGTTCTGTGGGCTGGCGGAGGAAACCTCGGAGCACATTCTGTGTGACTGCCCGCGTATCATGAATAGCAGACTGATGCACCTTGGGGAACGATTGTCTTCTCCATCCAAGATTTGGAACACGGCACCCTCCAATGTGCTTAATTTCTTGAATAGCCTAAGGTTGGAGTGACTACAATCAGGGTTTAGCACAATAGATCTTTTAGGTCGCAGCGCGAGTATACCCGACGTACTAATAATAATAATAATAATGTATGTATAATATGCATATGTATGGATGATATAATAGCTCTGATCCAATACTTTTCGTGTAAAATCCTGGAAAAAGGTCAAACAACAAAATCACTCTCTGAAGTGAGAGTAAAAGGTGAGTAACAGCAAAACGTACGGAACAAAAAAGCATCGGGTAAAATCCTGCAACATGAACTGCATTTACATGAACCGCAGATTATATTCCGAAAAGAAAAACTAAATTTGGGAATATATACAAATAGAAATGCTCAAACTATAAGCTCAAAAACAATAACTGATGCGGTGTTTCCAAGATATTTTAACGCCCTTGA